ATCAACCTTCTGTTCTGAAAACCGTATAGAGATGCCCCCAGAGGTGCATGGATCTATCAGAAGCTGATCCCTTGGCATAACACAGCTGACCCATGGGTATGCATCCGCGCTAACCGAAAACGTGTAAGTGACTATGCTAAAGTGGCGAAATCTGAGCACTATCCGGAAGTGAGGCCGTCTGCACTTATGTAGATTGGGGCTAATGGGCCCTCGATCACAAGTTAGACACCTTGACTACGTCACTACCGGTCAAGCCTGCTGAAGTTTGATCTCTTGGAGCTACTGCAGAAGAGATCATGACAATGATTTGAGACGATGCTGGATAAACAACAGAAGTGTCTAGCATACCTAATCATTTATTCGGCATTTTGTGAGAGTAAAGTGATAAAACTTGATTGACACGCCCAATGCTGAAGTGTTTCATTAACTCGCTTATCTATCTGTGTCGCCTCTTAGGATCAAAATGATAAAATAATTGTGTGTACAGAGCTCAAGATATATTTGTGATGTTCCAATCAAAAGTGGAGACGATGAGACATCAGGCTCTGTGCGACTATTGCTACCTTGCGGCTCACGGACATGTTCATTGCCTAGTGGGAAAATTACGTGATTGGATCCTTGTGAGCAGCGATTATGTATAGTGAGAGAGCTGGATGAATAATACCGAGGTACAGCAGTCGTAAACAGACCACAGGATATCTGGCGAGGCAATGGAGTGTTTTGCGAGGTTGAACAGCCTGCGTTGGTTTGGTCACGCCCTACCTGTCGACAGTAGGATACAGTGTGTAGCGCGTATGGATGCTGAACGATGCCAGGCGGAGTCTAGTCGATAAATAGCATGATTTGGTCAAGCTGATGATGCTTCATTATTTACAACGAACTGGAGACCGATTACGTCAGTGGTTACAAATTTTTTATCAAACAACAAACTCGTTGATTAAGTGACGCTGTAGCATCCAGAGAAACGTCTCTAGCTTTTATTTGATTACCAGATTAGTTTTGCAACTTTGTTCCTCTTAATTTTGCATGTTCGCTTGCGTATCCGTCCCATGGCAGCTGGACCCATTACATCTCGGTGAGAGAAGTGTACATGATTGATAAAAATGAGAAAAATATTGGTAACTAGGTGGGTTGGTGATGCGTCATACACTGAGGCACATACTACAGAAAACTGTCGAGTTGGTTTCGCATCGCCTGTTTTAGGATATTTCAGATGGAGGATGTATATTGCGCAAGAAGTCAGGAAATAGTAGGGGAATGTATCAGACAGTGTGAAAGCAGGAAAGATGCTGACAATTCGTGCAAATATGCGTAACTAAGGCTGGTTGAAGATATGGAACGATTGACAAGATGAAAATTCCAAAAATGAAGGTGTGAAAAGCACTTGATAAATTATGAAGACCCAGACTTCTAATTATCACGCGGATCGTAACTCCAGTGACCGCGAGTTCCACAACCATAACGGACTTAAACACACCGAAATGGCTCCAAAAAGGAAGGGTGAAACGTTCGTGGCTGTTAAATAGTACCAATACGCATTGAAGAATATGTTCAAAAACACTAAACTGGTGACTTGCGGTGCTATAACATAGTATAACTAATTAATACTAAACGCGAACGACGAGAAGGAGTAGGGGGCGGAGTAAGGTAACCAAACATTGGCGAAACAAAAGTGAACAAGAGCTGGATATCGGGTGTTGCTCGCCCTGCACTCTAAGACCCGTTTCAAAATTATTTGAGCGCATCAGGTAAAGATGCCAGGCAATAAAACGCGCAGCAATTGGAATGTCAGCCACCACGTAGGGCGTTCATGCTGATAAAATTTCTCGAAAGTAGACAATGGAAACAAGGGCTAACGAACAAGCCCGTTTACAGCGTTTCGTAATTAGGGCAGCGCATTACAAATAAATGATGTGTCAGTTGTATCCGAAAACGGCGCTTCGCTGCCGTGCGACCACCACCGGTCGCGCATGGGTTGAGTATACCGCGAGGACGCCCACTCCTATGCGGATTCGAACCCGCGCCGCAAGATTACGAGGCAAGCTCGTTACCTCTGAGTGACTGCTCTCCCAAGCTCATCAGACAATCTCCTGACCATTTTCCCAATCTATCTTGATCTATATGAACGAAAGAGCATTCACAGAAAGTTTTTAGCTAAGGTATCCTTTCCTTCATCCGTTGATTCAGATTTGGTGTTGAAGCCACGCTTAGCTGCAAGTTTATCGCGTAATAGAGTTGGTCAATGTCCTCCGTAAGGCTTCAGAATGCTAATTCCGCTGCCCTGCTCCTTCGGAACAGCAATGACAAATGGATCGATTTATATCCATACGAAACTAATCTTATCTGTGTTTCCTTGGGCTCCGTGTTACCGAATACGTTAAATTTTCTCCGGAGCAGGCGCTCGCTACACTACATTGTTAACATCTCAAGTAGGCATCGAACAAGAGTTAATCTCAGGCTTAGTGAGACGTAAGCGGTAGAATGGATATAACGCTCAATCAAAGTTGCCTTTCCGTGAATCTCCTTCGCACCGAGTCGCGATATCTGCTTATTTAGACGTGCAAACCTAACGTCGTATGGGTGTGGTAAGTAGGATTGTAGCGTGTCAAGATAGGATGAGTCATCCATCCATTACACATACGGTTCTTGTGATCCGAATGACCGAGGTCTACTCTTCAAAGTGAATTGAGGTAGAAACAGAGATTGCGTGTCGCAATCCAACCGCATGGCGGGTAGTCCAAATGCAACTTTGAATTGCTTACAGCTGCGCCAAGCGTTGCCCACGAATCTCAGTGGCATATTGATCAAGGCGTCAGCTGTGAACCAGTAGGTCCCGAGTTCCACTCTAACTCACGCTATATTCATCAGATGAGTCCAGTAAGGAAGAAACCGGTCATGGGGCGTTAGTGTTGGGAGGAGCGACACCGAAACATCTCCATTTCGGATACGGTCCTTGTGATCGGAATGACCGAGGTCTAGTTCAAAGTGAACCAAGGTCTCAATAGAGATTCGTGTCGCAATCTAACCACACAGCCTGGTAGACCAAACCCAACTTTGAGTCATTCATCCCTCCGGGTAGCTGTGAGCAGTTACGATGCAAAGTACTTCATCCACGTAGCTTCTTCGGGCTTACAAGTTGTCAATAGCCCAGTTCGGATAGCTGTTCTCCAACTCGCTCATGAGTACAGCAAAAAGTATTGGCCCTAGCAGTGAGACACCAGTAGTTCTGCACTATTTCTCGTTGTATCATTCCGCTAGCAAGATGCGGTCGTAAAACAGGGCATAGATATTCTACCGTCTCTTTTAAAGGAATAGACGATGAGTGATACCGTATGTAACGAGGACATCGCCCTAGCAACTGGATTCAGCTGCCCTAAGTGGCTAATCTGATGGGCTACTTAAAGTGCCCAAGAACTTAACGAGCTATTTTGCAACTGGTGACACGCAGGCCCGCATGGATCCAGCATGGGTCACTGCATCGTGTCAAATAGAGTGGTTAACCAGTATTGCATTCGATCGCCGAACATGGAGTCGGAAAGATATCACGCGCTAGGCTGTTTCTTGATTCGTTTCCCCGGGGAGCTCCCAGCAGCATTGTGGATTGAGCAACCGGGAGATTGACCCAATCAGGTAGAGTATCACAGAACAAAGTACTTTAAGGCAAATAAAATTCATATGTATGAACACCAAAACTTAGCATGGGAGAAGTACTCATGTAAGTAAGCGAACAAGCGTTGGCTGTCTTGCGCTAACTCTTGAGCGTGCGCAGTTCTCACTCGGAGCCTCCTCACTACTTCGCCAGCAAGGGGAGATATAGGTGAGCGGTCCTACAATGTTTTCGAAATGTTGTGGTCATACAACCACCGTCGTTCAATTAAGCTAAACAATTATGATTTGAGCACGATTCGCGTCGCCAAGATAAAAATTATTATGAATAGCATGTAGTACGAGGTAGAGTGCAAATGGAACACAAAAGGTGATTAGGAAAAAGGTAAGTAAAATTAGGCGAGATGGAATAGAAACAACTGTATCTTTCCTCAGTCAAATGAGTTCATAGCGTTTTTAAATCCCTCCTTAGGGAAATTGTTTTCCTCCTTAAATATTTCGACATGGTCCTTACCGCTATCAAATTGCATCCAACGTGGGCAGACGCCTCCAAATGCGTCATGTTCGTTGAGTGGCAAGTCCTAAATCAGCCGATGGGGGCGTTCGTGTCCGTCGGGCCTAATTTGATAGCAGTAAGGATCCATGGAAGAACATGATTTCCCTAGAGAGGAATTTAAATGCGCTATGGATGCGACTGATCGAGAAAATGTATAGACGTAAGAAACCGCGTGCCGATAGCTGCGCCATGTCCGATAGCATCTCCTACAAATGACGTAGTACGAACCTAGGCTTCCACCTACGAAGACTACACGCACCGGCTTGAACACGTCTCTCGGTCCCGTCAACGACTGGCCACCTCTTAGTTCCGCCCATCTAGGAGCAGTGCTAGTATATAATGCGCACCGAAAAGGGCGGTAAGCTGCAGTTTGGAAACCTTGAAATGCGCATAGCGAACTGCTAAATATATCGGTTGAAGAATGCTTGCACGAAGGAAGGTGATCAAAAAATATATATATTTGGAGATCGACTACAGTTCACTGATTGTATGGCAAACCCATCGGAACAACTTAGACCCCACGAGTAGAGCGGTAATATCAGAGCAGGACGCGTGAAACAAAACGCGGATGTCGTTCGAAACAGCGTGTATTTGAGGATAAGAGACCATTTGAAAAAGGAGCAATATCGAGCAAGTGCACTCCTGTTAGAATCGGAGAGCAATTTAAGCCGGGAGGAATGGCGTAAACACAGAAAGATACCAGTGATGTGTGACAAATTCACAGTCAGTGAACCGGTCGCGACAAGGGCCCGCGTGAGGGACGAAGGGAGGAACGTGGCAGAAGAGACGGACGGGAACGATTGGGGCGAGGACGTAGTGAGCGTATGAAAACGGGCTCTTATGCGGGCACCAACAATTTCGTTAAAAAGGACTGCAAATCACCCAATTCCTGCAGAACACAGAGAAGATATTGTCATGAGGCGTACACGAACATGACTACACTTACCTGGTCGCAAGACGAGTGTCCCATGTTAGGGTATTCATTAAATTCGCACTTGGACAATTGAAAACTTTTTAGTACGTTGTGGGTCATTTGACCCATTTCATGGGATACAATGCAATCACTTGTCCCATGACACTGAAAAATCGCCGTATCACGAGGTATGACGATTGTCTGCAAAGAGAAGAAGCATGAAGGAGGATTTCTAGGCGAAGGTGTAGTCACATACCGACTGATCAGCCAGGAGCTTTTCGTGCAACGGCAGCCAACAGCTGAGCCCGACCACACCGGCGTACGGACGACTTTTTGTCAGGGCGTGAAATAGAGCGAGTGAACCGCCTTGTGAAAAGCCGCCGATGACGATACGGTTGGAGGGGATACCGTGGCCGATTTCCGCCTGCACAAATTTCTCCACTAAAAGTGCACTGGAGGAGAACACGACTCACTTACATTCCGCGGAGGCCTCGAGGATTCCGGTTTCGTCTTGTCTTGCGTCGGCGTTTAGGGAGTAGATATCATACCATGCGGGCATACGCATGCCGTGGTTGAGCGTTACAGGCATAGAAGGCCTAAAATGGGGGCACTTAAACGAGGTCAATGGTGGACAACGGGAGCGCGCATGGCTGAATAATCGCGTGCGCGCAACTCACGCGTGAGGGCATATCAATTTACAACAGTCCGGTATGATATCCTTCAGAACGGATGACCAACCATGGCTACAAAGAGATATGAGAAGCGCTTCCAATTGATGTCCTTACCCGCTGTCGCCGAGTCCGTGTAGGAAGATGAGCTAGAATAAGACAAGTAGAAGAGAGTGTATGACGAAGATGCAATGTAGCATAGAAGTATATCATCAGAACATGATGGAAGTACTAAGTTATCGTAAAGTTGTTCCACTCAGTGGTATCAGAGCTTAAGCTGACACCCATAATTGCAGACTTTCGTGTTGTCGCGTCAAGTAACCAACATTTATTTTAACGTACCAGTTCGCTAGTCCCATTAACCGGTAACAGTTGTTGCTTTTGGCTGGGGATCACAGTTCCACTCTAGTACTAACACCATCGGTTATCTCGTGTTGACCACATCTGATTGGTTTTTAATTTCTTCGTTTCTTATTGGGTTTGCTCACTCGCGTTTGCAGTGCTCTGGTTGGTTTCTATAGCCACAGTACCGGTTCTGAAGCTACAATCGCTATTCCTGCTCGCTTCGTGTTTTCATTACCGTAATGAGTAGGAGCAGACACAACATGCGGGTAACGCTGAAAAAGGTGCGTTTGATTAGATGTAGATTGTGAGATGAGACCGTCGTTTCGTGCATTTTGATCCATCACAAAAAATGCAACATTGAAACTTAAACAAACGATGAGTATAGATGGCAAAGCACATAGGATACCACAGTAGGCTTAGAGCCACTGTCGGCTGCTTTTGAATGCACAGCGGTGATCGTTCGCGATCGTAAACTATAGCTTCCAATAGCCTAAGGATTTGGGGCTGCTGATCGCGCATTAGGACTGTGAGCAACTCACCAAGATTGACTCAGTGATCAGTAGTCAGCAAGTGCTTGTTAACTGCAAGATTGTACGCTAACAGTTCCAAAGAAGCCCATTTTCATTGATCTACCTTTCAAAGGCGACAATGTGATGAAGATCACTGAGAAAAGCACAACAAGTGCCTCATTGAAAAGAACGTATAACACGGTGGAATTGCGGCTGCTCATCTCGACTAGACCTATGCTAATATGTTCGATTAAGACACCGATGACAAAGCAGTGTATATCCCAATATCTATACAAATTTACCTGTAGCTGTGGAAACAGCTAAGTCGAGCGTACTGACCGACGTCTAGGTGTCAGAATGAATGAACACATCTCGAAGTGGTTACGCAACCGCATAGGATCTGTGAAAACGGAACCAATCGATTCGGGAAACCGAGTTACCACAGTAGTCACCAGCCACTTGCTGACTACTAGTCACCGAGTCAATCTGGATGAGTCGTTCACAGTCCTAATGCGCGATCAGTAGCCCCAAATCCTTAGGCTATTGGAGGCTATAGTTAACAATCGCGAAGGATCACCGCTGTGTAATCAAAAGCAGCTGACAGTGGCTCTAAGCCTATTGTGGTATCCCATGTGCTTTGCTGTCTATGATCACCGTTTGTTTAAGTTTCGATGTTGCATGTACTTTGAGATTGATAAGAATGCACGAAATGACGGCCTCATCTCACAATCAACGTCTGATTTTGATTTGATTAGCTGGGACAGATTGAGGTTATAAATGCGTCACAGAATCATTGGGTATAGAGGCATGAGGGTTACGGGAGGGTTTCGTGTGACAGATGTACAGCTCTCAGCACACCCACCATAACATGTGTGCCTAGCGAAACCGCTCTATACATGTAGATGTTTGTATTCCCCTTTTGTCAAGAGAAGCTGGGTTGGGGACAACACGAGAGATGCACATATGTACACTTGTGGGAGTCTGGAGGTCACTTAAGTCCAACGAAAATCTAGTCCAATCAGCTTCTTCCACACATAGAGAGTAAAACATATGTACCTCGCGAGGGTAAGCTGAGTCCATCGTAGCTCCTGTATTATCGTTCCTTGCACGCAAATATGCAGTGACGAAGGCAAACGAATCTATTAAGTAAATTCTGCAAAAACTTGACGTCGTGGCCATAGTGTGTCTGAGGATTTGCATCAGTTGACTCAAACGCATAAAATATCATGAGATGACTCTCACTTTCCTCCTGCGGGTTTTCCAATGTCTTTCCTCACTTACACCATCGCACACCGCGATAGGCAATGACTTTTATGAAAGCATGGAGTCGGATGACTTCATTATTCCACGTCTGTACGAGTTGATGAAAACAAGAGTAGGGGGCTGCTCCGATTATTCTACTCAATGATGAACGTGCTCTAGCAAAAACTGACCCACTGCTTTGTAAAAGCTCATCTTAGCCGAGACAAAGGATCAATCTGTACAGTATTGTTAGCAACCTCGATAAGACCAGTCTGTTTGCTGAGGTCACGCGGTCCTTGGGCATGGAAATTACCTGGATAGTGGCCGTTTGCAGGAAGTTCAGAGCAAAGTGTTGAAAGAATCTCCGTTTCATTTCCAGAACACACCGTACCGATAAATCAATGGGGCAGTAATGGGCAAGCAACCCACTAGACCACATGCTGTCTAATCTCGTCATGCCTTAGAAAACAACCAAGTTGCGTATTATGTGTGTTAGGTGACCTATAGGAGTGTGGGCCGGCTCTGTTGATGAAACGTGGCTCCCATCCACCTGCCTCCCCGTCTTATTCCTTCGGGTTTACACTGGATATGGAATGTGTGGATGGAGCTGTGGGTGATGCAGCGCAAGCCATCCATGGTCCCTCTGTAGGCGCAGGCGTCCTGTGGCTGCCCCCAGTGACAGGCAAATCCGAAACCGGATGCCGTCAACCATGTATGTATGTATGGATTGTACTCCATCGACATCGAGTGCATGGTGCTGTAACACATGCGGTCGCGAGTGCCTGAGTCAGGCAGGCCTAGTGAGCCATGAGCGAGGCCACTCGGGACCACTACCGAAACGACGACGGGTTCTGCAGAGAACGTAGGCAGAACCGGCGCAGAGTTTGTAGGTACGCTGCATTCGAGTTACTAACCGCGTGCTTGCATGCTAAGTCTATTTATTTCAGCTGGTGTGTTTTCAATTTTGCCATAATGCTTTTCTTTCTCATATAAATGTCTACCAGTATTCTCTTCCGTTAACTTGCACACCCCGCTTAAGCCAATGGCATTCGATTTCCATAACATTTTCGTGTTCGTGGCATTTCCGTAAAATATACTTTCTGACCTCGTGAACTTATCTCGGATCCTTTGTTAACAACTTATTTCATATGCTCATTAATTTAAGGTTTATGTCACCGTTTCCTTATGCATTACTCGAGTTATTTTCTTTGTATCTTTCTCTCAAGTGATTGGTTGTTGCTTGATATCCCCCATGTGGCTGCGCTTGATGTGCATGTTGACAAGGTGCCTACCTGTCTATTACCCACTACCTCGTCCATACTGGCTCCAGGAGACAGTCGGTCGTTGCTGGAGAGGACGAGGTGCACGGTCTTTGTGGCCGTGTTAGGATCAAAGAGTGGTTCCATGCACTCAGTGTGGAGCGGACTACGGTCCAGCCACCGCCTTGTGTGCGCTTGATTCCCCAAATACAGCGTGCTTGTGTTTGTCTGTGAAGAAGTGTGGGCCTGCTCCGTTGATGAAACGTGGTTCTCATCCGCATGCCTCCCGGTCTTATTCCTTCGGGTTTACACTGGATATGGGGTGTGTGGTTGGAGCTGTGGGTGGTGCAACGCGAGCCACCCATGGTCCCTCTGTAGGCGCAGGCGTCCTGTGGCTTGCCACAGTGACAGGCAAATCCGAAACCGGATGCCGCCAACCATATTATACATTGGTTCACCTGCACAGATGACTGTGTAATTGATAGAGCATGTTAACAGTGCAAATATGAATTTGCAAGTCAGCTGTCAAGTAGAATAGTTGGAGGGAGGTCTACTGAGAGACCTGTCAATAGAAAGGTAACATGATCCAACCAATAGACAGTCTTGCCAGACGAATGTATTCATACAATTATCTGGCTGAGGAAGGGTAGTGGACAGGGATCCTGATATCGATTGAGAAGTACATTTACTTGGCTGATAAAATAGCAAGTTGTGCTGACCCGCATCTGTGAGCAATAACAAGGGACACTGGAATAAGGACGGTGACGGACGTAGGGAGTTAGGCAAGTTGTCGATCAACTGATTCGCATAGATTTTGCGTGTGCGGTGTTCTTTAGGAATCGGGTATAGCGGTACACCGTCGTAACCCGTAGCTCACCAGCTCAGGTCTCTGTACCGAAAAAAGTAGCAGTGGATTCTAATTTCGAGTGATCAGGAAAGGGTGCGTAAAGTAACAGCAGGAACAAATTGGCCATATAACTCTCGTCCGACTGAACATCGTAGACGAGATCCTTCAAAGGACGAGTACCTATTCAGAGTCGTGGAATAAAGTTGGAGCCGATCGAGAAGTCATGAGTTCAGAGAGGTTTGGGAGCTAGCAATTAGTAGGTCTGTTGTGCAGCGCCTCGCTTTTAAGACAAAAGCTTCGGGAGGACAGATGAGTCAGTATGCACTCGGAGCGGTATTTTATCGCAAACAGGGACCATAATGGCGATAACAGAGACATGAGCTAGGAGATTGTTTTAGTCATAGTTCGGCATGTCACTTCAGGAGGGATATTCAACGCGCCCCCTTGTACATGACGGCATTGGCCCATAGTCAGCTGACGATGGGGAGTCGAGTTGCGCTTTCCAATCGGATCCGCACATCAACGCTTAGTGGACTAGCCGGATAAAAATCGCCTGTTCATCGATTGTTGCTCCAGTTATTTAGCAATCTGGTTGCGCTCAGTGAAACCAGTGTGATCCGAGAGTATCGAAGTGCAGTGGATCTAGTTGCCATGACTCTTGGTCTATGGGACAATAATAATTTCAATGGTGTGATGGAAATAACGTACAGCGTGAGCGGGGTGGAGGAAAAGGAATACTGTGCAAAAGTAAGTGAAAGTAATCTGGTCGGATATTGATAGCTGGATGTAGGAAGCCGAAAATAAGAGAAATATACTAATTGCGCGACTACACCATAAGCGATAAAGTCCCCGACCATTAATGTGGCCCATCCTAAGGCCCCATTCACGGATGACGGCAGGCATTAGCCTGACCAAGTCATTCGATAAATTCCTTCATGCGTCTAAGTAGTGAGTTCGCCCAACCGGGTGCATTTGCAGCATATAATGCAAGTCAAGGGAAGGCGATCAGTGGGAATACGAAGGATATGAGGAATCTCGAAAGGTTTTGAATCACAAATCGGTTGTTTTAAACAAGTTAAGACAAGTGGCTCCAGACTGATATGGACACTAAAGTGAGGCCCCCAAGGGTTTCCTGCCAAACACCAACCACACACTAATTCAAAACAACGAAAGTCAACATAACCGCGAGAACATTGGAGATAGTATAAATGGCATGAATATGGAAAGAAAGGAATCGGGGAAAAGCGCGTGCTTTCGATAAATGACGACAGCAGAGAAAATGAAAAGTCCCTGGCGGCATTTGCACAAATTACACAGTTAAATTGCAATAAAGCAGAGTAGTAGTAGTCGTAGTAGCGAAAAACGTTCGGACGTATGGGGAATGGCGACGTATGTTGTTGAACTTACGGTGGCCGAGTGAGTAGTACGAGAAGTAGTTACGACAGCTGGGAGCAATTTCGCGGCGCTCATTGGTCCGTCCAAACTGCAGCTAAGGCTACTTCCCATAAGACATCAAGAGCAAACCAATGGGGCTCCAGGAAAAGTCTTTCTTTGACAGTATTAATACAGCTGCGATACAGTCTGTCCGGACAAAGAAAAACAGGAGATGATTAGCTGAGAGTAATTAGGAGCAGAGGCGTATCAAAGGGGGAGGGGACGGACCTCTCCGGGCGGCATGTGACATGGGGCAACAATTTTCGCACCGCCGATAGTTTGATATTAAATATACAGGGCAAAATTTCCAGATAATCCGAGCGTTGAATATTTTAATGTTACGCTATTTGACCAACAATGCAGTGGCGCCATATGTCACCTGTGAAAACGATCTTCCCAACGATCCCCTCATCGGTCCCATTGCAGCTACTATCACCACATTTGGTCCCAGTGACCCAAACGATCAACCATTTCATCAAAAACTTATGTGCACATTACCTTCAGCGGAGTGTGTACATAGTCAGGGCGAAAATTTTACTGCCGCCCCGGGCGATAAAAGTAGTTGCTACGTCAATGGTAAGAAGCTAAGACATGTCCACATATGTTGTGACAATAAACGATTAGGGAAAGAAGCTACCAGCTCAAAAAACGTGAGTGTGATTGCGGTGTGCACATCGACACTGACCCCATTTATCAAAGGTGAAGATGTAGAGCTAAAACAGCTTAAAAACTGTCATGGGTAGTCAAGCGAGCCATCAACAACACAACCACAACAGCCAGAGCAAAGCCATATCACGGATCGACCGTGTCTATTATATATATATATATATATATATATATATATATATATATATATATATATATATATATGATCCGCCGTCTATAAGATAGACATAGAGCCAGCGAAAACCATGAAACGGAAGTAATAAACAGAAATCACAAAAAGAATGAAAGTTAGAAAAAGGTTCTTGTTTTTGAATCTTGTCTCTTTCTGTACTTCTTCACACGCCGTTTTACCTTTTTGCCTGTTTCATGTTTGTGATGTAATTCAAGAAAATAAAGATAAACATTTGTACACATGTTCTATGGGGCCCGGTTCTGCGCGATCTCCGAAAGAGTTTACAGCTAGCGGTGTTCGTCATCTTTGATCCCCCAGCCCGGAAGACACACGAGACCTGCGACAGCTAAACTGGGAATCAGCACTTTAATCGCTTGTCGCCACGTGATAGCTGACCACCGCGCGATTCCTTCCAGCCTGGTCCTGTGCGAGCGAAGAGAGTGCGTCGGGACAGACGTTCGCACGGCATGCGTCAAACATGGGCCAGCCATCTTACTTGGCGCAGAGGTACTAGTCTGTCAAGTGGAAGTCCCGTGTTACCTAAGACGCGACCTCTAACATCATCGTCGCGCACGTGGTTCATCCACCACATTCGAGCTATGCACCGCAGACATCCATTGTCAAAGGCCGAAATCTGACGCCAGTCATTCACACGAATAGGCCAGAACTCACTCGCATACAGTAGCACCGCGCGAACACAGGCATTGTAAACCCTGCCCTTTACCAATAGTGAAACGTCACAGCGTCACCACAGATGCCTCAAGTTGGCGAATGCCGAACGGGCTTTGGAAATGCGGAGGGAAACCTCTTTTCCAAAGCTACCATCAGTAGAAACACAGCTTTGTAAACAAAGTTGTCCACCTGTTCAAACTGCGTACCTTGAAGATTGAGCACTGGAACAGGTGGATGCCAATCTAGGAGCAGGACTTTGAATTTCGTAGAGGGCAAAGGTCATTCTATATTTTGATGCTTCAATCGCCAAGCAGTGTAGAACAGCTTGTGTGCTCTGTGCGTCATCACCAAGCAAGGCAATATCATCAGCATAATCTAAATCGGTCACGCGGCTGCCAGGAAGAACCTCTACACCAGAACCCTGAAAGCTCTCAAGAGCGTTTGAAAGGACATCCTCGGTCGCAAAATTGAAAAGTGAGCATGGTCAACCCTGTGGCACACCGCTACTGACGCCAAAAGCGAAGAGAGATTAACATTAGCCCTCACTTGACCTGAGACTTTGCAATATGATGCTCGAAGGATGGCGATATACTGTTCGGGAACTCCATTCCTTTGTAAGCAACTCCATAAAGCTGGCCGATCGACGGAGTCGAAAGCTGCTCGGATGTCCAAAAAAAACGACGATAGTGAGCTGGCGGTAAAGATGATACGTTTCAAGGAGTTAGCGGAGCGGAGCCAAGTGGTGTATACACCCTCGACCAGGGCGGAAACCAACCTGTTCTTCATGGGAGCGCAATTCTCGAATCGGACTGTCTGCGGAGTAGAATGGATGCTAACGGCTTGGAGGCAACGGACATTAGACTGATTCATCGGTGGTTAGCGCATAGGGTACGGGCACCTTTCTTGAAGATCGGATTGATTCGCCCCAAGCGGATAAAAGTGCTTCTTCACACCAGATCTTAGAGAACAAAGCTGTTAGCTGGTTGACAAATACTTCGCCTCCGAACTTGAACAACTCGGAACGAAGTCTGTCTGGGCCAGTAGACTTGAATCACTTCAAGTATTGGAGCTCAAGGCAGACCTCAGCTTCAGTGGGTGGCTCCAATGAGACGTTCCAAGGCGCGCAACTACGCTCGACACCGGCGAAGGCCAGATGAATTGAGTGCGGAAGTATTCAGCCCAAATGTGCATGCGCCTGTGTAAGTTGCTTATCGACGTTTCGTCAACCTCGCTAATGACCTCACTGATATCAGGTCTTTTTTGACTAGTGGCCCGAATGACCTGGAAGTGCTTACGGAAGCTTCCAGAGAGGGCTGCCGTTTCCATCTCCGAGGCGCGCTGGGACCAGCAAGTTTCGCGATCAGCACGCAGACTTTGCTTAAGCTGTTGGCTGAGAATGCGACGCAATGCACTGCTATTTGAATCGGTCGGGATAGCTCTACGACAAACAAACAATTCCAGTGAGCGTGCGGAAATCCAGCCCCTCAGAGGGCGCCTTGTGATTCCGCAGATTGAATGGCTGGAAGTTAACATCATTTCACGAAGGAAACTCCAGTGGTTTTCGATGGCTCGGAGTGAAGCACTAATGAATGCATGTGATAATGAAGCTTGATAAATTGATCGAGCAGAGAGATCAGCTAACCCGTTGGTGTCGAGCGTATGGAGCATTCGTTTTGAAGAGCCGCCGAAGCGCATGCAGATGTCCGCGCAGACCAGAGCATGATCGAATCGAGGTACGTAGACCAAATCGATCTACAACCCCGGACGTTGCCTCGCCATCTAAAGCTGATTGCAACGTGATCTATTTGTAACCATGCTTGCGTTGGTGAAGGACACCAGGTGGCTGTATGTCTTCTGGTATGCCTATAGTTCGTACTTGAGAAATATAGACGGTGGTCTTCGCATAACGTAAAAAGCCTATCACCGTTGTCAGAACGGCTCTCATCAAGCGCGTGGCTGCCACCAATATGACGTTCGCATGGAAGCAGGCGACCTACATGTGCGTTGAGATCTCCGGCAAGGACGATGACATCTGACTTTTCGGGCTTGTTCTAAAGGTTGTGGAGTCCACGATAAAAGTCATCCTTGACCAATGCACAGCTGCAGTCGGTTGGAGCGTAAGCAGAAACGAAAAACAAAGCGTACCTCTCTTCACGATGCCTGTTGATTCTACATGAGCCTTGAAGCCGAACCGCACACAGCCGGCTGTCGATTGGAAACCAGTGGTGTAATGCAGCCTCTGCTTTGTCACTCAATGCGATACGGACACCAGCTAAGTCGGCTGCTACTGCCTCCATGTCACCAAACAGACGTAGATCTCAAGAGCAGCTGGGGACGACAAGTTAACCACGGTGCTGGGGTCCTGTAATCGAGTCCCTGAAAGGTAACAAACATCGATGGCGAGGGACACTAGAGTGCGCGTCAGGTCAGCCAGTTGTCCAATCTGTAGGAGGGTCCGAACAGTGAACGCTGCCAGGCGGAATAAAGTACGGGGTCGAAGGATAGATGATGGCCGGACGATTTGGATATCAGTGAGACGGGCATCGGAAGTCGATTCAAGAGGTTGTCGATTATAAACAAGAGAAAAGTTGGCGTGTGATGGAGAAGCACAAGTAGCAGGGGAAGTAGCAGGAGATGTAAGCGACGTAGTAGCAATTGCGAAATCCATGGTTTTTTAAATCGACGATCAAATCAGTGGATTTCAGTTGACCCAGTAGCGCACTGAGGATGTCAATTCGTTTGGTGATGAAAAGTTTGCGAAGCAAGCTGGGCGAACGGGTGAAATCAACATAGAAGATCAATTGGCATAAATTGATAGCAATGCAACCTCTAGCAAGTATATCACCTAGGAGGTCACCGCATGTATCAACACTGTCTGTCTGGCTTTCCAAAGTCTTGATCGCCTGTGGAGAGGGCGGATTATCAGCCTATCAGTCAAAAAGAGAGTGCGCAACGCTGCGGAAAGACCACTATTTCTTAACGATCACAAACACAGATGAGGTCAGTCCTCTCTAGCTCCTGGTACATGCGTGATACCGCTCACATCTGGCAGGAGCACCGAGACAGCAATATTGCAATTTGGCAGTTAGAATTTGTAGAGAAACCATATGGAACTGCAATACGGCATTTGCCAAACTTGAACGGCTTAAGTTGGCTGTCATACTCGCCTTATGACCGTTGATTACCCGCCTAGGTGTAAAATGTTTGCCAATGCCGTATCCAAGTACTGAAAGTGTGGGGTAGCTAGTCGGCGAGGCTACATAGCGAAGGAAATGATTGACCGTGAGACTAGGCTGCGCTCTATCTCATTTATAAATCAAGTGAAGTCAGTTTACAAGGACGATACAGGCTTACGCCTAACGGGCGTCCTGTTCCTTGCAATAGTAAGTAGTAAACAAGAGTCCCGGCACTTCGACGTCCGATAAATTTTCGCGGCTTCTGCGGAATATGGAAGCAAAAACAAAAGCATTCTTTGTACCGTCATGCAGTACGAGGTCAAAGTGGCAAGATGCAATAAAAGTAAAATAATTATGGAAAAAGTTCAGACCAGTACCTATCTGGGCCTCTTTAAAAGGCTCCTAAAGTGCTGCATTCTACTAATGCTGGAGGTAGCTCATTCCAGTTATTGACTGTACGAT